GGGGGGGGAAACAAACGTTCATTTTCTTTTCAGTGTGTTTCTGCCATTGTATCATAAATGAAAATATTACAGCTATTGATCGAGATGATTGGCTGATGGATCGCTTAACATCCATTTCAGGGTCTGACGTCACTGCATCTGGCGGCCATCCACGGTCGGCTGGAGTGTCTCCGACTGCTAATTGAGAAGTACAAGTTCGATATCAACTTACCCAGTACGACCGGCTGGAGAGCTGCCCACCTGTGTATAAGTAATCAGACCGGCAAGAGGGCGCTGCAGTGTCTCTCCTATCTCCTCAGCAAAAAGGCAGATCCTTCCATGTAAGTCTTCACTGTATTCCCCAAAAATAGACCTCATTGTAAGTGTTGTCTATCTCCCTAACAAAAGGACGGAATCCACAAGGTTAGCGTTATGTATCTCTCTAACAAAAGACAGACTCCACATTTTAAGTTTTCTGTATCTCTCTAACAAAAAGACGGAATCCTCATGGTAAGTTTTGTCTATCTCCCCATCAAATAGACATAAGTTATCCTACCTCCACAACAAACACAGACCGATCCGTATCACGGTCTTTCTACATATAAGTCTCCTACCTTCTCAACAAAAAGAAAGACCGTGTAAGTCTCTCTACATTTTCAGTAAAGACAGACCCCGTGATGTAAAATTCTTTCTTCGAAGAAAACACACTCTTCTTATTGTTCCTACCTCCCAATCCAAAATACAGATTTTCCCATATAACTCTTCCTACATCTTCATACCAAGGACATGTCGATCTTTCATTAGTTTCGCCTTTTTGGTAAAAAAAAAAAAAAAAAAAAAGTGTAAGAAATACATTCAATATTTGTTTTTTTACATCTTCAAGAGAAACACAGATCCATTACGTAAGTTTCCATGTCTCTTCAACAGAAGACAGATCCTTCATGCAAGTGTCCCGACGTCCTAAACAGGGAGAAGACTTTCCGATTCTCTCTTTGCAAGTTTTATTTCTACCTCAGCCACAAACAGACACATCCTCATTGCAATACCCCCTAGGGGACCTCACCAATAAAACGATAGATCCCTTTAAGTTAATTGGATAAATGGCAATCATCATTTTACAGTCAAACTGACAGATACAGATTAAGGAAAGGCGAAGTAGCGTGTTGAGTTCCATGTTTTGTCATATTTAGGCCCAACAATGACGGGATCACACCTGTTCACCAGGCTGCGTCTGAAGGTCACGTGCAGTGCCTTAAGGAGCTGATTGACATAGGGGCCGCCATTACGGGGAAGGATTGTAGAGGCCACACACCCCTCGACCTAGCCAAACTTTGGGGACACAAAAAATGTGCCAGGTCTGTAGCAGGATCCGTATAGCATTGTTGTTTACAACCGTGCTGCAGCAACAATTACTAAAATAAGCACTTCATTGGTATTGCAATTCTTACATGAATGCTAAGAACACTACTGTATATTTTTATCAGCTGTTTGAAGGTTAGACCTTTCAGAGCCTGATCAAGTGAAACATAATGTTCCAGAAAGTAAACATCTTTTCGTCCTCATATTGCTTTGGGTTCCAACAGTAGAGGCTGAGCTGCTTGATACCGAAGAACCAACATATTGTTACTAATTCTTGTAATTGTTTCAGCCAAAAATCTGATGACAATCTCTCTGAATAATATGAAAGATTTTCTCCGATTTGAATTAAGAAACCACAGAAACAATACCAACCTTGTCAGTTTTGAATATGCACATATTTATGAAAAAAGGTGAAGTAAAGGAATTGAATATCAAACATGAATCATATGTTCTTTTTCGCTAAATTTTCAGAATACTGGCCGCGGAAAGTTGGCACCAAGGGAAGGATCACGTGGCCAAGGAGATGGATTATCTCAAGAAATTGAAGATGCAGCAAGTAATGAAGGAGATGGAATACGAAGATGAGAAACGCGCGGCCCAAGAATTCTATGGGGAAAAGGCTTATCAGGACTGGTTACACAAACAAAAACTTCCGCCACAGAACACAGGTCCCAGAGGTCGGGGGGACAGGACGGAAAAGACGACAAAACCAGTCGGCGATTCCCTCCAAAAGCCTAATAGCAAGGTCCAACGACCAGATAACACTTCATCCGGGAAATCCGGAAAATCATCTATCAAGCGCCAAGGGACGTCATCGACAACCAACGTGCACGTGGCTTTCCGCACTCAAAGAACACCAAGTCCGGTAGAGCGTCGGCCGACAACCTTCTCACAATATGATGACGAATTTAATATACATGAGAGACAGGACAAGAAGGCTGAATCGGCTAAACCACTAAAGGCAAGGATACGGACACCACCGTACGTGAATCCGGATGTATGGAAAGTACCGCTGAACGTTCCTAAGAAGGAATATATTGTGAATCTAAAGGACGATTTCCCTCGGGACCAGTTTACACGAATGCCGAAAATGAAGTCAGCTCCAATGTATTACACGGGAAAGCACGCGCCTGGTATATACGTCACAGATGAAAATTCTAAAACACGGAAATTAAAAATGAAGGTGCGTGATGTGGACCTGCCCAATGAAGTAGTGGACAAAGTATTAATGGACGATCCCAGTCTGGTAGAACGGCCGGTCTTGTTCAAACCAATCCACATGAGTGATGTGACCAAGAAGAAGAAATATGACGTCGAAGAGAAAGGACGTAGTGAAATTAGCTTGCATATATGTGACGATTTTAAATCTCTGTTATTCAAGGGAAGTCTCATGAGAGCAAATACTTTTCACTGTGACTCAAATTCATCCTCCTCCTCTAGAACCCCAGAGTCTGGGAATCGGAATTGGTCCAGCGCCAGGGTTCCGCGGGAAAGAGTCGTCAATGCTTTTTTGAACCTGAACGAGCCGCAGCGTTTCCCCAATATCAAAGGGCAAGAATACGACATCAATTTCGGAGAAGTCGCAATCATGTGATGTATCCTCTTCTCGCGTGATTATTTCATTGAAACGTGAAGTAATCATTACAAAGGGAGGTAAACGTTAGTCATTGTCAAATCTGAAATGCTGGATGTTGACTGTCGGACACATACTACCTTACAATGCGTGATTGGGGACCAAAGTCTTAATTGTTTGTTGAAAAGTATTTTTGTAAACTTTGAGGTTATTTAATTTAAATGCAATGTCTTAAGGTTTCACATAGAAATTCTACATTAATTTTCTACAGTCGACTAAACATATATTCACACGCTGTCCTCCTTCAGAATCAATGTCACCACGGTTACACGAAAGCTTTTATAAACTCGTACCCACATGTTCAGAAAGTCTCGGGGAAATGGTTGCTGTCTCGTTATAAATTGTTGTTAAGACGAACGTTTTGGAAGTGTCTTACAGCCGTAGGCCATGTAGAGTTGCCACAACAGTGGTGAAATGCAAACGTTGGCAGCATTTCAAAACAGCAGATCACCGGTTTATGATGGCGTAGTGCACCCAGGGGATCAAGACCTGAGGACTTTGTGACCTCGTCACTGCGAATCTGTCGTGTGAAATTCATCCGCGAGTCTATGGATGGGGCCCTTACGGGGGTAATCGGCAGTGCGTATTTTTTAAATAGGTGATTAGGTTTATAAACATGTATTCATCATCAGTAGTTATGTGCACAATTTTACTTTTGGAATAATAACTGACTTTCCATCTCGGCCGCTTTGTTTGTCAAAGGTTCCCTTCTTTGACCCCACTTGTATGCCTACCCACCTGGTTGTGTAGCCATCAGAGCCTGTGAGACAGGAGTTATAAAATAGTAATGCTTGCTTCCATCTGTCATTAGTGGGCAGTACTCTTTATCGTTATGGCATGTGTGATTTTAGCACTTCTGACACAAAGGGATTCTGGGGGTTTTTACCAATATTATAGCCAATGTTTTACCGTGTTCATCAGAATTGATATGTATTGTTTAGGTTTTGATAAACATTGTCATCGTTAAGACAGGAATCACGAATCTCATTTTTTATCTTAAAGTTAAACTTTTTGATAGAATACCACAAATATATAGATTATAACTCTATAGCTTTCTTGATTTAAATAGAGATTCCATATACAATTTCGGCTATGCACATTTACTATCAAATGTCGTTATAGCAGATAAACAATTTAGTATTCAAAGACAGTATTACATTGTGTATTTATGAACACTTAAACGTTTGACATTGTAGAAGGAAACCTTTACCTGAAGCTTCGTCGGTTAGGCCAAAACATTACCGGGTACCCCGATCGACCATAGCGGAGTTTTTACCTCCGACCTTAACAATTTTATCTCACTTAAATGCACTTATAAATTTTAAAAACTTTAATATGCACTGAAAACTAATAAAGATAAATCCCTACCGACCTTCGCTACTTTTTTCAGTCATGTTACCTGAAACACACATGTTTTTGGCTTTAATTGGATTTTATATAGAGTTATCATTTTATCTGTTCACATGGATTTAATAGAATTATGACAACACACAATACTTGTGAAAATGAAAGCTACAAGTAATTTTCTATAGGTACATTGGAATATGATTTTTAACTCGGACGGTACATGTAACTTACTTTCGGAAAGAACGATTTCCAATGTTGACGTTTGACCGACTCGACACACTGAGTCAGATTTTTGGACTGTAGAAGTATAATGAATACGGTGCTTAGCGATCTCATACTGCTGATAAAACTATTATCTACATATTCAATAAAACCTTTACATATTTTTCAAAGATATGTGTGTTTTATTTAAATTATACTGAGTAAATTCAGTGCCTGGAAATGCCCATGCATATAATAAACACAGGGACCTGATAATTTGTTACAGCTACATTTGGACCTAAGGTGTTTAGAGTAGTTTTACATGTTTTAGGGGACTAGATCGACTTTCGGTAAAAATGCCATCCCCATTTAATGCTTACATATAAGGATTGGGTCGGCAGTTTTACCGTCGATCTAAACCCCTAAAACATGTAAAATTGCTAGAAGCAGGAAGAGGTGTCTCACAACCTTGGCTTAGAATTAACCGGAAGTTTTCCTTAATCCAGACCCTTATGTTCTCTGTAGTAACAGAAGTGTTCAGATGATCAAGACTATAAATTATTTAAGGACTATGCAGACCAGTCGTTACCAATTTGTAACCAATTTTAGACAGAACGCAGTTTATAAAACAAATGCCATACTTATGATTCATTCAAGAACAACACTGGACCTTGAGGAACATGTTTGGAAATATGTCATTGTTCAGCAAATCACAAGCCTTCTGGTATTATTTTTAGTCTTGCCCCGTTATTAGATGTCATACATTATTCATGTTTATGATCAGGTCGGCACACACTGATCAGCACTGTGGCATTGGCGTGTTAGCAGAAGTCATTACACAGCACGAATAAAACACATTGATTAAAGCTTTATTCAAAACGTGTTGTTTAATTCAACAAACGTAAAAAAAAAAAATGAGCCATGTTTGATAAAGATCACTATTTCTTTTCCGCCTCATTTTACCCGTCCAAATATTCTTGTTTAATTGTTTTCCCATTTGTCAAATATTTTTTTTCTATAAAATATTAAGACACGGTAGTTTAGTGGTAGGGCGCCGGGCTTGTGACCGAAGGGCTGCGAGTTCGAGTCACGTCACGGCACTGTGTTGAGCAAGATGTTCGAAATTTTAAAGGCAAAGTGTTATGTTTGTTTTCAGAAGATTACAGAGCAATATCGAACGTCTTTTAATGTCGCTATTGAGAAAGGAAGTTTTAAAGAGAAGTGCTTTAATTATACTGTGAAAAAAATCAGTAAAATAGAAACTTTTTGAATTAGTGCTATTTCATAATATATATCGGCATTAAGAGGATCCGCCATCAGCTTTAATGCATTTTGTGAGTAATAATTTCATTCTTAGCGTGGGGTCCTAATTACATAAAGTAGCATTAATTAGTCAAAACACTTTTAATTTTCTTTATATTAATGATATATTGTTGCAGACTAATTGGGGCCAATATTTTATGGAACTCCATATAGTTGAAACAACATCGCCTTGGTTCTATGACTGATAACTGGTGATTTGTTTGTCTGCATCGACATACCACGTTTAGGCAATGTAAAAGATTTGAAACTTTTGGATTTGAAATCATCTTTGCCTTATGCCACACAAAGAACGCTGAAATGCTGGATAGCCTATAAGCTAGAGCCAATCAAAATAGGATTCTGGAGCACGTGTTAAAATACGAAAAAAGAAGATTGTTCAGAATATGTCCATTTTGTGCATGAGAACCAGAAATATCTACATATTCGTTTATGAATTCGTTTATGAAAAAATGAATGAGCGGATCTACGATTTTTTTTCTAACGGAACAGGCCACTTGTCTCCAACGAGAGCAAACTTATATCTTATTATGGGAGTCACATCCGATTGAGCAGATCGTAACGGTTAATAGAGGTTTTAGTTTAGTACCCAACGTACGGGACCTGTCTCCGTCATTTGATCAACAGAACAATAGTCGTGGTATTAAGGGGGGGGGGGGTCCATTTTGTTCAGGTTATGAGAATATAACTCAGTGGAACACGTGTAAATTGAATAGACGGCGATGTCCAAAAATCTATGATAAATTTACACGTGCTTAATGGCAGTAATTACCTCATAACCTGACCAAAATAGAACACTTTTCCTTATTTTTACAGTATTTTTCTGTGAATGGTTCATAACTGTATTCTACCTTAGTCTGATCAATGGAGACACATTTCATGTCCAAATGGGATCTTTTTGATAAAAGTAAAAGTCTGTACTTTTCTCGACGTCATGGAAGTTTGTTGCTATGGTAAAGATTGTAAGGCATGAGATGATACATTTTAACTCCAATTTACGGTAACTAGAGTTACTGAGTGAATGTCAGCGTAGACGGGTTAAGTAGTCACAGGCATTTTGAGAATTTGTTACAGCTATATTTGGACCTAAACTAAGGTGTTCAGAGTAATTTTACACGTTTTAGAGTTTATATCGATTTCGGTAAAAATGACACCCCTAATCGTATATATAAGCATGGGGGTGGGGGTGGGGCATTTTTACCGAAAGTCGATCTAAACCCGTAAAACATGTCAAATTACTCGGAACACCTTAGTTTAGGTCCAAATATAACTAACAAATTATCAGGTCCATGTGGTGTTAGTCATGTACTTCACAGAACACAATAAGTAAAACACAAGAAATCGTACTCGTTTAATCGTTTTATTTTGTCACCATAGTAAGACGGAGAAATGAATGAAAACTTCCACACCAATATGTACACACTAAAAATAACTCCGTATTCGCAAAACATGGTTTACAGATTACGCGGGCACACTGAAACATAAAGTGTTCTAGGTGAGAAAACATCAATAGTTGCTCGATTTAAAGAAACAGATTTATGTTCAATATATCAAGGTTGTATGAGACATTGATTTAATATCGATCTATCATGCGTTCACCGAACACATATGAAAGCGGGCATGAGACATACGTTTGTATGATTAAGCGCGGATTCAGTTGCGGAATAACACGATGCATCATGTTCCACCATGCATTATTGCCACCCATTTGTATATATGTATTCTCTACACTGTATTGTTTATGAGAATAATACAATTGTCATTGTCATTGATGGATAAAGAAGCGATGAATCAGCTCTGTTCCATTTCTAAAGTATTACTAAATAAATCACTCCGAAATCACACAAAGAGTAATTAACTTGGCCTTAGCTTTGTGAATGTCTGTTATCACATACTCTCACCGTGTACTTATGAATAATTTGTTGTTTGTAACATGAATATAACAGAACCAAACGGAATATAACATAGAATTTTTATACTATCGCTTTGTAGCTGTAGAAAACGAAATTACTTTGAATGATAACAGACGGCCATAAGCCTCGGGGACAGGTTTGCGATCGTGCAGTGTATTCTATTAACACTGCAATAGAATACTTCGAGCGATCGATGCTACAGACGTTTTCCCTCAGAAATGTTTTTTTGCAGTAAATTATATCGTCCGACTCGATTCTGAATTCTTGCTCCATGAAAAAAAATACTGTCGTCCAATGTGCTCTGTAGAAACCATCAGCACAATCCATTCCTGTCAATGCATTGACCAGATGACCCCGAAATTGTTTTTTTTTCCTTCATTCAAAATGACAAAAAACATGCAAGAATTCGATGTGAAATAATACCTCCAAATGCTTCGATACCATTCGTATATCCCGGTCCATTCCGTACTACAACCACTGTTTGTAGATATATACCTGGTGAGATTGTAGTTTGACACTTTATCGTCAGTTAACGTCTTTTAGAGCTGTTGTGACAGCCACACTTAGACTTTTCTATTAGTTACAGACGTTGCATTGTCATTCGAAACACCTCTGTCGAATGTATTCCCCACCATTCTGAATCGGAATTCCGAACGTCGTGTTTTAGTAATGAACAGACAGGTTTTAGTGACTTGCGTTGTGCCGTGAAGTGAATATGTGCTTTGTAGTATCTTGTTGATCCTAAAGAGTGGTATGTCCTGGTGGATCTGTGGGAATGTATACTTCAGCTTTCGGGTCTTTTCTGAAAGAAGATAAAAAAAAGTTCTTAATCATGATGCAAGATGAGGCAACAAAGAATACATGATCCCTTAACTATGAAACATAATTAAATAATTCTTCGTCATTGTGATGAGAGGATGGAAGTACACAGATACAATGTCTGTAGTAATTAGTATCCAAGCGATTAATATCACCAATGATTGCAAGAACCACCCGTGTTATACCGGTAACCGTTCTTAACTTGCTATAATAGCAAGTTATAACAATGCAAAATCAATTGAAATGTTTTTTCAATATTTTCGCTGGTGGTTCTTATCATACTCAGCACCAGCACTCACTGACAATATTCAGCAAGGGTTCTCAATGATGCCGTTCCTATCACAAGACTACCAGAGATTAACAGCGAGCATTTCCCTAATTACAATGTACCGGTGCTCACGAATTCTCGCTGATGGAATCATCCAAATTACCAGCACTAGCATGCAATGCCCTTAATACCCTACGATAATTCTCGCTTTTGGACACATGTATATACTACAAGCCCTCACGAATACTTGCTGATAGTCGCATCAAAATTATATCAGCGCTAACGTGCACTGTCATAAATACCTTACAATAATTCTCGCTTTTGGACATATGAAATCTCCCGGCACTCACAAAATCTCGTGGATGGAAGCATCAAAATTACTAGCGCTAACGTGAACTGCCCTAAATACACTAAAAGAATTCCTAACTGATGGTTTAAATCTCACGACAAATGAAAGACTTCACCAGTTTTACTCACCTTGTTGTGCAGCAGATGTAACAGAGAAGGACCATCAGTAGCCCCACCCCTGTAGCCCCCAGCACGGCAACAGTAGTAAAAAGTAGAGAAATGTCTACTGTCTCAACTGTCTCTATCTTGGCTGAAAAATGAAACAAAAAATATCAAGAGGTCTAAGTTACATAGCTGTTAAAACAACATTATATATCGCACGACGTCAAAAATGCTAATATACACCGGCAACAAAGATAGCGTACGACGTCGAAAAAGATAATAATCGACATCAACAGGGATAACATGAAGACGTCAACAAAGATAACGTACGACGTCAACAAAGATAACATACGTCGTCAACGAAGATAACGTTCGACGTCAACAAAGATAACGTACGTCGTCACGGAGATAACGTATAACATCAACAAAGATAACGTATAACGTCAACAAATATAACGTACAACGTCAACAAAGATAACGTACGACGTCAACTAAGATAACATATAACTTCAACAAAGATAACGTACGTCGTCAACAAAGATTACGTACGACGTCAACAAAGATAACGTATAACGTCAACAAAGATAACGTACAACGTCAACAAAGATAACGTACGACGTTAACAAAGATAACGTACGTCGTCAACAAAGAAAAACGTACGACGTCAACAAAAATAACGTGCGTATAAAGATAGCATACGACGTCAACAAAGATAACGTACGACGTCAACAAAGATAACGTACAACGTCAACAGAGATAACGGAAAACGTCAACAAAGATAACGTACGACATCACCACCGATAACGTAAAACGTCAACAAAGAGAACGTACAATGTCACCAGAGATAACGTAAAACGTCAACAAAGATAACGTACAACGTCAACAAAGATAACGTACAACGTCAACGAAGATAACGTACGACGTCAACAAAGATAACGTACAATGTCAACAAAGATAACGTACGACGTCAACAAAGATAACGTACAACGTCAACAGAGATAACGGAAAACGTCAACAAAGATAACGTACGACGTCAACAAAGATAACGTACAATGTCAACAAAGATAACGTACGACGTAAACAAAGATAACGTACGACGTCAACAAAGATAACGGACAACGTCAACAGAGATAACGGAAAACGTCAACAAAGATAACGTACGACATCACCACCGATAATGTAAAACGTCAACAAAGAGAACGTACAATGTCACCAAAGATAACGTAAAACGTCAACAAAGATAACGTACGACGTCTACAAAGATAACGTACAATGTCAACAAAGATAACGTACGACGTCGACAAAGATAACGTAAAACGTCAACAAAGATAACGTACGACGTCTACAAAGATAACGTACAATGTCAACAAAGATAACGTACGACGTAAACAAAGATAACGTAAAACGTCAACAAAGATAACGTACGACGTCTACAAAGATAACGTACAATGTCAACAAAGATAACGTACGACGTAAACAAAGATAACGTACGACGTCAACAAAGATAACGTAAAACGTCAACAGAGATAACGGAAAACGTCAACAAAGATAACGTACGACATCACCACCGATAATGTAAAACGTCAACAAAGAGAACGTACAATGTCACCAAAGATAACGTAAAACGTCAACAAAGATAACGTACGACGTCAACAAAGATAACGTACCACGTCAACAAAGATAACGTACGACGTAAACAAAGATAACGTATATCTTCAACAAAGATAACGTAAAACGTCAACAAAGATAACATACGACGTCAAGAAAGATAACGTACGACGTCAACAAAGATAAAGTACAACGTCAACAAAGATAACGTACAATGTCAACAAAGATAACGTACGACGTCAACAAAGATAACGTAAAACGTCAACAAAGATAACGTACAACGTCAACAAAGATAACGTACCACGTCAACAAAGATAACGTACGACGTAAACAAAGATAAAGTAAAACGTCAACAAAGTTAACTTACGACGTCAACAAAGATTACGTACGACGTCAACAAAGATAACGTACGACGTAAACAAAGATAACGTATATCTTCAACAAAAATAACGTAAAACGTCAACAATGATAACATACGACGTCAACAAATATAACGTACGACGTCAACAAAGATAACGTACAACGTCAACAAAGATAACGTACGACGTCAACAAAGATAACGTACAACGTCAACAAAGATAACGTACGACGTCAACAAAGATAACGTACGACGTCAACAAAGATAACGTACAACGTCAACAAAGATAAAGTACGACGTCAACCAAGATAGCGAACAACGTCAACAAAGATAACCTACGACGTCAACAAAGATAACGTAAAACGTCTACAAAGATAACGTACGACGTCAACAAAGATAACGTACAACGTCAACAAAGATAACGTACGACGTCAACCAAGATAACGTACAACGTCAACAGAGATAACGTACAACGTCAACAGAGATAACGTACAACGTCAACAAAGATAACGTACAACGTCAACACAGATAACGTACGACGTCAACAAAGATAAAGTACGACGTCAAAAAAGATAAAGTACGACGTCAACTAAGATAACGTAAAACGTCAACAAAGATAAAGTACGACGTCAACAAAGATAAAGTACGACGTCAAAAAAGATAAAGTACGACGTCAACCAAGATAACGTACGACGTCAACAAAGATAAAGTACGACGTCAAAAAAGACAAAGTACGACGTCAACCAAGATAACGTAAAACGTCAACAAAGATAAAGTACGACGTCAACAAAGATAGCGAACAACGTCAACAAAGATAACCTACGACGTCAACAAAGATAACGTAAAACGTCTACAAAGATAACGTACGACGTCAACAAAGATAACGTACGACGTAAACAAAGATAACGTACGACGTCAACAAAGATAAAGTACGACGTCAAAAAAGATAAAGTACGACGTCAACCAAGATAACGTAAAACGTCAACAAAGATAAAGTACGACGTCAACCAAGATAACGTACGACGTCAACAGTCAACAAAGATAACGTACGACGTCAACAAAGCTAAAGTACGACGTCAACAAAGATAACGTAGAACGTCAACAAAGATAACGAAAAACGTCAACAAAGATAACGCACGACGTCAACAAAGATAAAGTACGACGTCAAACAAGATAACGTAAAACGTCAACAGAGATAACGGAAAACGTCAACAAAGATAACTTACGACGGCAACAAAGATAACGTACAACGTCAACAAAGATAACGTAAAACGTCATCAAAGAGAACGTACAATGTCACCAGAGATAACGTAAAACGTCAACAAAGATAACGTAAAACGTCAACAAAGATAACGTACAACGTCAACAAAGATAAAGTACGACGTCAACCAAGATAACGTAAAACGTCAACAAAGATAAAGTACGACGTCAACCAAGATAGCGTACAACGTCAACAAAGATAACGTACGACGTAAGCAAAGATAACGTAAAACGTCTACAAAGATAACGTAAAACGTCAACAAAGAGAACGTACAATGTCACCAGAGATAACGTAAAACGTCAACAGAGATAACGTAAAACGTCAACAAAGATAACGTACAACGTCAACTAAGATAACGTACAACGTCAACAAAGATAACGTACAACGTCAACTAAGATAACGTACAACGTCAACAAAGATAACGTACAACGTCAACTAAGATAACGTACGACGTCAACAAAGATAACGTAAAACGTCTACAAAGATAACGTAAAACGTCAACAAAGATAACGTAAAACGTCAACAATGATAACGTACAACGTCAACAAAGATAACGTACAACGTCAACTAAGATAACGTACGACGTCAACAAAGATAACGTACCCCGTCAACAAAGATAACGTACAACGTCAACAAAGATAAAGTACGACGTCAACCAAGATAACGTAAAACGTCAACAAAGATAAAGTACGACGTCAACCAAGATAAAGTAAGACGTCAACAAAGATAACGTACGACGTCAACAAATATAACGTACGACGTCAACAAAGATAACGTACCCCGTCAACAAAGATAACGTACAACGTCAACAACGATAACGTAAAACGTCAACAAAGATAACATACGACGTCAACAAATATAACGTACGACGTCAACAAAGATAACGTAAAACGTCTACAAAGATAACGTAAAACGTCAACAAAGATAACGTAAAACGGCAACAAAGATAACGTACAACGTCAACAATGATAACGTACGACGTCAACCAAGATAGCGTACAACGTCAACAAAGATAACGTACGACGTAAGCAAAGATAACGTAAAACGTCTACAAAGATAACGTACGACGTCAACAAAGATAACGTAGAACGTCAACAAAGATAACGTACAACGTCAACTAAGATAACGTACAACGTCAACAAAGATAACGTACTAAGATAACGTACGACGTCAACAAAGATAACGGACGACGTCAACAAAGATAACGTACGACGTCAACAAAGGTAACGTACGACGTCAACAAAGATAACGTACAATGTCAACAAAGATAACGTACGACGTCAACAAATATAACGTACGACGTCAACAAAGATAACGTAAAACGTCAACAATGATAACGTACAACGTCAACAAAGATAACGTAAAACGTCATCAAAGAGAACGTACAATGTCACCAGAGATAACGTAAAACGTCAACAAAGATAACGTAAAACGTCAACAATGATAACGTACAACGTCAACAAAGATAACGTACGACGTCAATAAAGATAAAGTACGACGTCAACCAAGATAACGAACAACGTCAACAAAGATAACGTACGACGTCAATAAAGATAAAGTACGACGTCAACCAAGATAACGTGCGACGTCAACCAAGATAACGTACGACGTCAACAAAGATAAAGTACGACGTCAAAAAAGATAAAGTACGACGTCAACCAAGATAACGGACTACGTCAATAAAGATAAAGTACGACGTCAACCAAGATAACGAACGACGTCAACAAAGATAAAGTACGACGTCAACCAAGATAACGTACTACGTCAATAAAGATAAAGTACGACGTCAACCAAGATAACGTACGACGTGAACAAAGATAACGTACGACGTCAACAAAGATAACGTACGACGTCAACAAAGATAACGTACAACGTCAACAAAGATAACGTACGACGTCAACACAGATAACGTATATCGTCAACAAAGATAATGTACGAAGTAAACAAAGTTTATGTGCGACGTCAACAAAGATAACGTACAGCGTCAACAAACACAACAAGATAATATACAAAGTTAACGAAGATAGCATACAACATTTACAAATACGTTAAAAGTCAACAAAGATAACGAACGATATCAGACAAGATAACGTTCGACCTGAGCAATGATAACGTGCGACGTCAACATTTTTGGTTTGTTTGTGTTTTACGTCCTATTAACAGCTATGGTCATTTAAGGACGTGCTAGGTGTTGGTGGTGGAGGAAAGCCGGAGTTCCAGGGGGAAAAACCCCGACCTACGGCCAGTCCCTGGCGACTGCCCAACGTAGGCCTCGAACCCGCGACCCAGTGATGGAGGGCTAGTGGTAGCAAAATGTCCGACACTTTAAGCACTTGGCCACCGCGGCCCCGTGACGTCAACAAACACGTTGTTTCTGGATCCTATTTCATATATGTAATAATTAATAAAAAGATAACGTAGAGTAGTAATTGTTGATAGAGAAACATTTTTATATTCGATCAAAATTAGGCTGTCTGGAACGACACTCGACAAGAGAGGTTTAATGACATATTGGTTGTGAAAAACTGATCCACAGCCCTCGGGGGTTCGGTATGCAACATATGATAATCTGATCTCAGAGATGCTTCGTAATACATTTTGGTATTTAGTCAGCTGTCCAGAAGAAAATAACTTTTAAAAGATCAATTTTGAAATAAAGGAAGATTGAAAGTTGTTCCATGTCGGCCTTCGTGGATTTCACGCTGAGCAGTTGGTCAGCACCACACGTTGGCTATTTCTCAGATGATTTAACTAAATAGCACTAGCAGGCTTATTAGTTATATGGTTTGTTACTGACCTACTATAGAACCATAGAGGGTTAATACAATTCTCAGAGGGTGAGACCGAACGCACCGAGGACCTTTTTATACCCCCTTTTGATACACCTGGGACATATTTTTTCCTGCTCAAATGTCTATAGGGCACTGTCCGGTGGACTACGGAAAGTAGAGAAGTCAACTGATGGGAAGCGAACAACTAATATTGCCCCCTAAGAAATTTTACTGACTCCCTATAGTCTCATAGGGGGTTACCACGTGACCCGATTTTAACCAATCAGATGCGACAATTCTGTCCGAGATGCGATAAATATATATATATTTACAGTCTGCAAAGCTGACATGTTGGCTATTATTCCTGGTAAATTTTCAGCTAAATCGCGCGGGCAGATTTGGAGATAATAAGATGGACACCATTGTATCCATCTTGGATTTCAGACCGACCTCAAAAATAACATCATCTGGGAAACGTCACCCCAGAACCTTTCCTAGCAAGTGTCAGATAAATCCCCAATGAGGAATAAGGGGTTTCAAATGTGAATTGTATCAAAGAACACGAATTATTGTACGTTTATAGATGATCGCTGTAGACGTCATGTTGTATCTCGAATCAACCAGGTAAATGACAACACTTAGTGGTCTATCATTTCCATTACATTTTAATCATTCATACCCAGTTTTGGCTTAATTGCTCTGACAGACTTTGAGAAGATCGAACTATGTTTTTAAAGACAGCCGCGATGTCGGACGTCTTGAATTTCGGACCGTCCCATAAAGTAAAAACAGCTAATTATTATTGACTTATATATTCCAGATGCTGTTTTTTTGGCGAACCAACCCCCCAAAAAATACTTATTTTGGCCATTGTTTTATTTCTACAAAATAGAAGATATTGACAAACTTTGCTGTTAACAGATTTGCAATTAATTGACTCTCATCTCTCTACCTGTGACGTGAATTATCGGAATTCATGCATAGATTTTTAAAAAGCATAACATTTTTATATACGTTTCGGCATTTCGAATGACTTAAACATGTAACCTTCCACTACAATATTTCAAATACTATTTTGAGAAATTGCATTTTAAAACAAGCTTTCGTTTGATAAACATAAAAATGTGAATTTTATGAAGTTTGCTTGCTGATACAATTTATCTAACATATGTATAGGCATTGCATTGAACTAAATATTAATGTGATAACATTGTGTTAAGATTTAAATTTAAATTTAAATTAAATTTATTACTTTTGACCTTATTTATTTAAAACCCTGCGACCTCCCAGGAAGTTGATGCCATTATGTTATGCAACACAATAAATGTTTTCGACCTAAGGACAGCGCCTTCCATTAAAAACTGATATAAATCGCCCTGACTTCTCTACCGAGACACAACCATGCAGTGTATTTATGTGTTCGACTGAAACAAACTGTGCCTATAGTCGAATAACGCTAAGGACGCATGCAGCATTCCTACCTCGAATTGCCAGCAACATGAACAAGACAAACTCAAAGAATAATTCTACCACTTCATCGAATTAACGGGATATTTTATTGGTTAATAAATATGTAAAATGGGGCAAACTTATTATGCTCATCTGTGTGCCATACTTTTGGATTTGTTGTCTCTACCCCGTGTCTCAATTTGACATAACTTGGATTCGACATTTAAATTTAAATGGCATTAGTCGTCGATGCAGCAGAAGAGGTTAACCCTTCCGGAACACCTGGCCTTATTCTCCTCGTACCATTTTCCAATTGTCTCAGTGTAAATATTTTGTTTGTTCATAGTATTCCCTGCCATCAATTTTGAGTTCAAATGCGGGTTTTTTAACATTTTGATATTATCTTCCTGATATTTTTTGACAATCTCTTTTAAAACCATATAATTACTCGCGCATTTCATTTTAAGTAAAATGAATGAAAAGGTAACCAACAGAGGACAGCAAATTATTTATTTGAACATCGTCACGGAAATATTCGATTTGACTGGTGTTGTTACTGAATCAAGTGGACCCAGAAATTACATCCAGTCACGTTACAATAGCATGGCGCCATGCGCTCCGCTAATTTTCACCTATCAAATTATCACGAGCTCGCCCTGCGGAATGGACGAGGCATTTGACGGGAATGAGGTCAGTGTTTGCTTCGTCGAGTTAGACGGCACCTTGTGGTGCATCCGAGACCGTTCGTGACTTTATTAGATTATCTTGTCTGCTGTAAGCCTATATATTCCCAATGGTGTCATGTGTGTGGTCACTTATGCGGGACATGGAACCTGCGAAACCGTCTCTATAAATAAACATCACTTTCAGATATGGATAAAGATAAAAATATATATATATATATAATAATAATAATAATAATAATAATAATAATCGGTCGGAACTTTTTAATTCCTTACCAGATTACGTTTTTGATAACCATTGCGTGTACTCGAAATTCACATGTCTAGTTTGGTCTGAATTTTATCTAATGATGAAAAACGATCGCGAATGCTTACGTCTACAGGAAATATTTCAGGACTAACGTTTCTGAAGACCGGAGTGTTCCTTTTCTCATCACGAACTTGGTAGAAAGAGATATTACATGGATATATTGAACCACAGATCTACTATTGGGTCTAGGCCTCCCAGCCTCGATGCCATGGAGACACGCAACACATATACTTACCAACACACTCGGGACCACTCCAACCCGTAGCACATCCATGTAAGCACATTCCGGCGTCCCTTGTGCATGCGCCATACAGACAATTGATGCATATCCGGTCACAGTACAGCCCATAGTTACCAGGGTAGCATCCGGCTATCGGCAGACACGTGCCAGTAAATCTATCACAACAATGCCGTTTTTCGGAATCCACTAGGCATTTTTCTGAACATTGCATTTTACAAAATTCACCATAGTAGCCTGGTGCACATGATGTTTCCCGGTACGCTTCCGTCCACGTGACGTCATCCATTACGACCTTGCAGGAGGGTGGTGCCGGAGAGCCAAGAGTGTCCTTACAGACGATACACTGACCGGACATTTGGTCACATGCGTAGCACGAGGACTTATCCGGACATGTCATATTACAGGATATACCGTACAGTCCTGGCCAGCAGCCGTCGGCGCATCCCTGCCCGTCCGTACACATGCCCTCCACACAACCGTCACAGCTCTGGCTACACTCAGGACCGTGCCACTGCGGTTTACACTCTAAAATAAAAGGATATTTCTGTAGAGTACATAATATTGTGGTTTTATTTTAGAAAAATGTTACATAAGCAAATTAGGGAGAAAGAAGGGGGGAAATACTATTCTGCAACTATTAAATGCATTAATTTTTGAGCCTTCAAGGTACTCTTCAACAAGCATGTTTTGCTATCTTATCTTCGTTTATCCCGTTGATTGTCGATCGCCTGTGCTTGTTTTTATCGTATATGACGCCCCTCCCCTTCCTCTCCCCCGAAAATTGTGTTCACTTAAGAACTGCAAATAACGAAAATCTAGTGGATCATCGAAAATATGCATCACCTATAAAACTTACAGTAGCGTCTTCGCTATGCGCATTCGTTTACTGCAAAATAAGTATTGGATTTCAAGATACTAGAATAAGGTGTGATACATTTGTCGTGATTTTTTTCTACGTGCTCGCAATGAGATAATAGTTCTCATGACAAACCCTGAAAACACAGCGATAAAACTAATTATCATCTTTATACTACTAAATACATATGTACCTTAAATCTCCACAATCATTTAAAGTCAACTAAATACCATATGTTCCAACCAATTTCTAGGTCTTACGATCATCGAAATCCTTGGTCAATGTCAAAAATAAACCAATATAAGTTTTGTGCTGAGGAATACCGTGAATTTTAGAACAACATAGAAAGATATTTTTTGAAATATGAATGACTATTTTCTTACGCGGAACACCTTTCGTATACTGTTTCCTGTTAATTACATCGCCTGGCACGAGCAGGCATCTTAAATAGGAAAATCCTTTCTCAAGTTGCTCTCAACTTCTTCTCGAGTATTTTCATTCTGATAACCCGCGATGATGAATTTATCTTGCTACTGGTAGGAGGTATACAATAGTACATAGATGATTAAAACTATACCTATGATTTATCTGGTTATACGTACTTAAACAAACTCCTGTCTCACGATCACAAACGTCCTGTAGACATCTCTCACACTGATCATAGCAGTAAAGTCCGTAGAAACCATGGTTACAGCCCTCAGCACAAATCCCCGAGGAATTGCACGTAGCGTACTGGCAATTCCTTGGACAGTGCACGGTACACGTATGGTCATAATACCCTGGCTGACATCCGTTCACGCATGTGCCATTAAATGCGTGACATATATGGTTTACACATCGACCACATTCATTGGTGCAGTATTCCCGGAAAGTGTCTAGAAACCATCCTCTCGCGCACCCTTCCAGACAGATTCCGTCGTGACTCCGACACTTGTTGTCCTTGCAATGAAGACATTCTTCACAATGTCCGTTCGTTATGTAGTAGCCCGGTTCACATTCCGTACAGTCCAGATCGTTTCTACTGACGGAGTACGGCTTCTGGCGATAAGCACACTGAATACAGTGTGGATACGACTCAGTACAGAAGGACGCATCACATTTCCTCCCAAACCAGTCAGCACTACAGCCGTTGGCACAGTGACCTAAATTGCCGTGACAGGAAGTGTTGCCACCTGTACAAAATGGACTACACTTGTTTGTGCACATTATACCATAGTAGCCGCGTTGACATCCAGAGGAACAAGCCGCAGAGTGACTGTTACAGGCGGCGCTGTCTAAGCAGTGACCACTTGTACATGGACAGCAACCGTTTTCAAAAGGAAACCAGTCATCTTCGGAACACAAGATGCAATCAAATTTTCCCTTCTCGCGTTCTGCACATTCTGAAAAGCTACACTCGCACTTGTCACCGTATCTGTCTTCATCTTTACAATCTGTACATTGAAGTCCTGATCTGAGACATGTTTTACATCCATCAATACATTTATGTTCACAGTTGGCTCCGTAGAATCCATCCTCACACAACACGCATGTCCTGTTGCTGCTACATAGAGAACAGTTGGGTATACACGGATTGTTGCACTGTTCTCCAAACCAGCCATTTTGACAGTCACAGTTTCCCGTTCGTCGATCGCACGTTGAGCTTTGGCAATATTGAGAACATGACTTGTCGCATTTCAGTCCGTACCAACCTTCCTTGCAGGCGGAACACTCATCGTTCGTAGTGCAGCTTTTACAGTTTGTTAGACTACATGTTGATTGACATGTCACTCCGCGCCATCCCGAGTTACACACAGGACATCTTCCAGTCAACTGATCACATGCCAGGAAGCAGTTCGGAGCGCACGTGTTATTACAGAATTGTCCCCAGTACCTAGAGTCGCAGACAAAGCAAGAACCGTCGTTCCTGTTGCAGCTGAGGTTGCAGTGTTCCGGACAAGCTTTGTCGCAACTCTGACCATAGTACCCTAATAAACAAGCACCGATACATGACCCTGTTTCTTGGTAACACTTTTGATGGTCCCTTGTGTTGCAATGAGATGAACATTGAAGAGAGCAGCGCGGCCCGTGGAATCCATACAAACATCCGGCACATGTTCCAAGCATTTTGTCGCACGTGCCGTCCTTGCAGCGCGAAGGACAAAGATGCTGACATGAGCGACCAAAGTAACCCGACTTGCAGTCACCGATACATTTGTACTGACCATCGGGGTCATGGCAACTTCCATCCGGACATCCTCGGCACTGGTCGTCTACAACAAACAAAGTTTATACGTTCACGGTATAATTTTGTACCTGTCTATGTATACACAAAACAAAAAAAAACAAAAAAAAAGATGGAATGCTACATGGAATTACCAATCAACGTGAGATATGTACCATGTTGCACTTGTGCTTATCTTTGTGCTTCCGGATATATTGTTGATAATATTCTTTATTGCGCGAATAAATATTTCCATAATCAATCGAGAATGTATATATACCGGGGTATATCGACACCATGAATAGTGTTGACCAGTGGGAAACCTTAATTTGTAAATAATCAGGAAATTATAGCAAGCATTTTGTCAAATTACGCCAAATAAAAATTGTAGTCAGTACGGAATGGTTTGAGTTGGGTATATTTATGGGCATTATCATACACCTTCTAATCTTTCATAGGACAACGGCACTTCATAGTGAAATGGTATCTTGTTTCCCGCTGGGTATGATATATCCCAAACATTTTCTATAATAATTTTAAAAATACCTTTCATAAAATCAAATTGTTTGATAATGCAGAATATAAGTTGATCTGAACGTTAACGGTTAATTGATTGGCTGGCGTCAAAGTCACAGTTTAGCTTTTATCTTTCGTGATCATAAACTGATATCAATACAAGATTCACTGTTAAAAGTCGGCACAGAATGTCAAAAATTAGCTAAATATAAAAAAAAGGTTTTACAGGATTTAAAAGCGTTGTCTGTTGATGATGTTTAAAGTCACTTTCGAATTTTTGAAACGGAAGTGAGAGAGTTTTCCTAAACTTGAAGGTCCTTGCGCGGCGATTGACTACTTCATTTTTATAAGCTTTCGAAGATGCGTAATTATGATTAAATCTGATTTAATGTGTAAGGTTCCATTGTTATGTTAGATAAAATTTTGATCTAAAAATCTTTGAGTGTCAGTGGACGTAGTATTTGTAAATGATTGGTAATATTGACATCAACTTGTAATGTTTTCACAATATAGTTACATACACTATCAAAGAATGGAAGCGGGTTTATTTACTTATTTCATATTGATGACATTTACTTTATTCTTCATTCGGTCAGCGAAGGATTTTTATGCCTAAATAATAACAAAAGAACAAGAGGCCACAGTCTCACACTACTAAAGGGGATGTGCAGGTTGAACTTAAGAAAATATGTTTTTAGAGAACGTATTGTAAACCACTGGAACTCCCTACCCGATACTGTCGTCACCTCACCAACAATCAAAACATTGGAATCCCGTCTGGATAAGTATCGGGGACAACCTGATTGTTTCTATAACCATGAGATAGACAATAATGAACGTATTCATTGCCGGGACGTCAGCATAGTGTCTGACGATATTCCAGATCTGGATATATAGGCATATTGCCTGCGTCCAGTATTATTATTATTATATTATTATAAAATATCGAGATATGACAATCGAACAGAAACTACTAAATAGTCGGGACTGCTGTCTGATATCTTCCTCTTCTACTTCCAAATGCGACTTCACGATACAGGGCACAATGCCAACGCTATATGTATTTACCAAAACCATTCGTATGTACTCAAAAGGTCATCAGGACTGTAAAGCCCCAATAGAGACAACGACAAAAATGCACAGCACTTTGAACATAAGCTTGTACATCAAATCTTTGTAAGGATAATTATATTAGTTATCGCGGCACTGGTAACCTTTTGTCAGTTTATTGAGACTAACGTTATTTTTATAGAGAACCAAGGTGTACGCGATAGTACAGTCTAGCAGTAATGTCAAGCAGACTTATTATTACTCCATGTACTCCTCATCCTCCAGTCTCTGGAGATTCACCTCCGTGTCTATACATACGTGAATCATGCTACCGGCCCACAATTATCATCTGTACAACACAGACAGACGCGAAGGACATTTTGTGGTCTGTTGCTACAAACTGAGCAAGATAAGACGAAAATGGAGTTTATAAGGTGACCCGGTCATGTAGTAGTCTAAATGCTTGCAGCCAAGATATCGATAGCACATTATACGACTTCAACAAGAATTAACCAAAAACGAAATTTGCAGATATCCTAACATACTCCGCTGCCGCTATACCATGTAAGTGACAGCCTGCCCTCTGCCGATGGCACTGGTTTTACTGCGTATTGAGAAATGGATTAAGAAACTATATCAGACTGGAAATATACCCATGTCTCTACCAAACGAAGAAAGCACGGGCTTTTTACGTCCTATTATTAACTTTAATTACAAATTTTCCTCAGAGATAAGTGAGTTTTGTCGTAATTCAAGCTTCGAAATCACAAGTCCACAGACAATGACAACACTTCAGGGCCTAGCTGTTGAGTGCCTGGTTAGTTTTATAAAAACTTAACACAATATTTGAATCTTATATATTAAAATTAGTAAATTTTGCATCTAAAGTTACATTGAAGGTATCGGATAATTGTATGTAAAACTAAATGAAAAAAACAACCACATACTGGCCAATTTCCGGATATTTCTAAATAAAATTACATTTTGAATCAAATGTGTTTACGACCCGGTAAGCTAACCAGACTTAAAAATGAACCAAGCAGTGAATGGGCGTCTAACTTACCAGCGTTTACACATATTTCAAATTCGATTTTTTCTTCATATTGATTAAACAGTTTTGTTGGGTTTCTTTGGCGAATGCTTCCATTTAAAGATTATTTGGAGTATTTTTCATGACATATCAGCTACATGTTGATGTGTTACGAAATAAACTCAGATTAATGCGAGATAATGAAATTCAGTATAGAGATACTTAAAAACAAAATTAACATTTTCAGCACAAATCTGAATGGCTTTATTACATGGTGTATAACTACAATATCCAGTGTAGTTTCTAAGCTTAATGTTTCATTTTAAGTAGGTACACATGATTCAATAAGAAACGTAAATGAAGCAAGCAAAATCGAATGTAATCAGAGCATTATGTAACTACTGGTAAGTATTTAGTTTGGACTAAAATTTCCTTTCGACTGTGTCGGTGAATGTTAATCAAAACTAAGTTGGATGTTTCAGAAATCCGTCCCTTTTAGAATGTCCTGTCCCATTTGGTAACTTGTGATGTAAAAAGAGTTGTATGTCATTGGGAGTTTTGTGTTTTGGAAAAGTCCTACTTCATAGAAGGTCTTTTGTATTAAAAAAGGCGTATTTCATAGAAAGTCATGTGTTATAAAATGTCCTATTTCATAGAGTCATGTGTAATAAAATGTCCTATTTCATAGAAAGTCTTGTGTCTTCAAATGGCCTATTTCATAGAAAGCCATGTGTTATAAAAAGTCCTATTTCATAGAAAGTCTTGTGTCATGAAATGGCCTATTTCATAGAAAGTCTTGTGTCATCAAATGGCATATTTCATAGAAAGTTTTGTGTTATGAAATGTCCCATTTAATAGAACGTATTTTGTTATAAAATGTCCTATTTGATAGAAAGTATTTTATTATAAAATATCATATTTCATAGAAAGTCTTTTGTTATAAAATGTCTTATTTCATAGAAAGTCTTTTTTTATAAAACGTCCTATTTCATAGAAAGTCTTTTGTTATAAAAAGGCCTATTTCATAAAAAGTCTTTTGTTACAAAAATGTCCTATTTCATAGAAAGTCATGTGTAATAAAATGTACTATTTCACAGAAAGTCTTATGTTATAAAATGTCCTATTTAATAGAAAGTCTTGTGTCATCAAATGGCCTTTTTCATAGAAAGTCTTATGTTATAAAATATTCTATTTCATAGAAAGTCTTGTGTTATAAAATGTCCTATTTCATAGAAAGTCTTGTGTTATAAGATATACTATTTCATAAAAAGTCATTTGTTATAAAATGTCGTATTTCATAAAAATTCTTGAGTTATAAAATGTCCTATTTACTAGAAAGTCTTGTGTCATGAAATGTACTATTTCACAGTAAGTCTTACGGTATAAAATGTCCTATTTACTAGAAAGTCTTGTGTCATGAAATGTACTATTTCACAGTAAGTCTTACGGTATAAAATGTCCTATTTCATGGAAAATCTTTTGTTATAACATGTCCTATTTCATATCTTGTCTTATGTTATAA